CAAGTTGCCCAGGCGGGTCTCAAACCTGCAGGCTCAGGCAATCCACTCACCTCAGCCCCCAAAGCATGGGATTACGGGCTGAGCCACCGAGCCCAGCTAAATATGCAACTTTTTATAAATAAATTGTTTTTCTTGGGTCCCCCTCATATGAGAGCACACAGAAGAGATAGCTCAGATGTCCACCAAGTATGGAACAGAGTTCAATGAAGCTCTAACAATGGGTAAATAAATAAAAGCTTGTTCACTAAGCAAAGCAGAGTAGCAAACAAAGCAAAACAGATAATGAAGGAACACAAGCAAATTGTTTCTCATCTGTATGTTCCAGGTTGTATGTTCCAGGTTTAAGGGTCACAAAGTGAAAAACCATTTAAAAAAACATTAAAAAACCATTCCCATATACAGAACAAAAGCCTGCTGAGGGTATCATAAAGTTTTGAGCTTCTAGAGACAGAGATAGTCTGATAATTCTACCTTTTAATTGCATTATAATTCTCTGTTCCCTTATTCCATCTGTCCAGTCATCCTTCCTTCCTTAATATGTGTACGGCACCGATTTGGACTATTTTGATCTTGTAAGATGATAAAGTTGCACTGCCTGACGGAGCCACTTGATGGTGCCACAAGTTAACTTATCATTCACCAAGACCATGGAAGACCGTCTAGAGAACCCCCACCTTGGGGTGAGGACAAGAGAGGCACATTCGGGAATTCCGAGTTGAATTATGCTTTCCAGCTCAATGATGTAAATTCTATTCTGGGAGGGTATTTACTGATTTTTACAATGGTTTAAAATCAAGACAGTTAACGTGGCCTAGTAGAGGATGAGATGGGTTCAAAGATGAAACAACACTTTAAGCTAAGTCTTAAAGGAAGCCAGGGAAACACAGGAGCCAGGAAGAGGAGTCAGAAATGAGCATGATGTTTTTAGGGAACTGCAGGTAGGTCAGTATCATTCACACACTGGACATGTGTGACACAGTGGCTGGCGGAGGCAAAACGGGACAGAAAACTAAACCCAATCACTGGACAGTATCCATTTCTAGAACACAAGCTCCACGAAGACATGGTCTTATTCACCACTATATCCTCAATGCTTAGAACAGCATCTGGAACATAGTAGGGGCACAATGGATAGTCATTGAATGAGTTAGTCAGAAAACATTTCATTACGGACAGCACTTAAGGACAGTATTGAGGTCCCTTTCCATGGCTATGGTAGCATTAATTACATCAGGAAGCTGATCATATGAAAGTTTAAGCCAACATTTTAGATATTCTGAAGCTTAAGCAACGAATCTACCTAAACACAGATATAGCTACTTGCCAAGAATTTAAAAGGGAATATTTCAGGTTACATAAAAGTAAAGAAATATCTTAGATGTCAAAAGGTCATCTAGGTCCATCCTTAAACGGTTAAGCATAAACCAAACAGGTGATAATGAATCTATTTATTCCACTTATTCTGGAAAACATTACAGGAAACAGGTCAAGAAGATACTCCTACTTTTATAGGAAATATTTTGGGCAAAACAAATTTTAAAAGTTGATCAAGATTAAGTTGCCATTACAAATATTGCCAGCTTGAAAACAAGCTGACATTGACAGTGGCAGATGTTGGCAAGTGTCTCACTTGGTCTTCAAATTTGGAATCCCAAATGGAAAATGACTGATTAGGCCATAAAGCAAAGTTGTGGCTCAGCCTATTAAGAAATAAAATCACTGCAGACAACTTGATATCCTTTTTCTCACCCACGGGAGCAACTTGCTTAGATACCTGGACTTCACAACACAGCTTATGAGGTCTTGATTCAGAACAAGGAGGTTAACTGCCATGGAGTAGTGGAAAGAAGGGGGCCCAGAGCCATCTGCAGAGACTTAGGCTCAAGCCCCGAACCCCAGAACTTCACGTGGCCCAGCACCTTTCAGGTGTGTCATCTGTGTGCCAAACATGCTTTTTGGTTTAAAAGTGACAGGTTTGGGAAAACATAGACCCCAAAGACACCAGGCATCAGTCTCTGTGCACAGCATGGGAGGGTAGACATGGTGTCTCACCTGCTTTTAATGAGCACTAGACTCATCAGTGTAACCAGCACACGTTCTGACGGCTGGGGTTGCTCTGAGGTCTCCTAGGGGAACGCCATTTCCTTGCATCTGTGTATTCATCCCCACTTCACGTTGTGAGAGCCAAAAACCTGAGTCGTATACTTATGTTCTAGAGTGTACTGAGTTTGTATGACTTCACTTGCAGACCATGAAATGAGCTTTTCCACAAAAAGACCCTTGACTATCTAAGGTAGAAACCTCGGACTTTCTAGAAAATGTGAGGAAAAAGGAATCGTTCTGATGGTGCAAAGATTCCTGGTCACACGGCAATGAAAAAAGGCCCCATAATAATACCCTTGCACCCGAACCAAAAATGAAGTTGTAGACATCATGTTCTACACAAACAAGATCTTGAAAAATGCCTCAGACATGGGGAATTTGTCTGTTAACAATCAAAGAACAAAAGGAAAAGCAGTGTAAC